CTCTCCTCTCAGCTGAGCTACTCGATTTCGAGGCGTTCCGGCCACCCTTGCATTCCCCTTAGGCTATTCCAAATAATTAACTGTATAGCACGATACACTATCGTGTCTCTGGCCTCAGGGACGGAGACGGAGCATGGTGGCATGCGTATTGGGCGCTCGCAGCTTCCTTCATACTGTACAACACAATGCAACCTGTCACTCGAATACGCTCTAAAGGGCGGAAAGATGGGCGGGAGGGATGACCAGATCGCTGGACATGGTAGAAATCTCCGAGATCCCCGCCCCCCGATTTGATACGAAAAACTTTCTGCATGTCATAGGAGAGACGGTGAGGGGACTCGCACTGCTTCAAGCATCCCTATGTGCTTGCGCCAAGTTCTGTACCTTACCGGTACTCATAGTGGAGTATTGTATGGCAGTTCCATAGAGGCGGGCTAATAGTACCATCGTAGAATTCTGAAACCGGGCCGAACTAGAGAAAGTGATAAAACTGGAAGGAAGGGATAGAGACAGTCACTAGCTCAGGAGAGGAAGGTGAAAAGAGCAAAAAGAAAGAGCAGATGGGTAGTCCGCCAGTGACCGATCCACGGTGAAGGGAAAAAGAAAGAAAAAGACAGAGATGGTTTTCGGTAGGAAATGTTCTAATGTGACAATGCGAATAGGGAGGGAATGCAAAAATGAAGAAAGGAAAAGAAAAAGAAAAAGCACACAAATCGACAATCGTTTTTTACCCATTTTTACCGCAAAAGTAGACTCAGGCAACACCGCCGGTTGGATCGGGCATCCTGGGCACGTACCATACAAGAGGTGTATGTCTAGCCAGAGACTATAATTCGGCCATTCTAGAAGACAGCTTGTATACGCATAAAATATGCTCCACCTCGCATTAATCCAATGGCTTTTATCCGTCTTCAGGATAGCCCCCGGACGGGCTCCACGTTGCTTGCCAAATCACATTACCTAAAGCCCATTTCAGGGTGCCCAGGGAGTCTCCATATCAAAAAGAAAAGACTGTTCGACCGCTCGATAGAAGAGCTGCTGAGAGAAAATAAAGGGAGGAAAAAAAACTCTGTCCACACATGGACCAACTGACAGCACCCCCGAGCGGGGACGCTACGCATAACTCATCATGTCTAGGATTAAATTAGCTTCTTGAGAGAAATCTGCAAATCTGAGAGGATGGTCTTTACTGTCCAGCTTCCCGGTGCCTTTGAGGTCGTGCTCAAACCCTTCGGTGACGGCAAGTACAAGTTTGAGGTGCTCCATTGATAGTCCCTCGTTTTTGCTCAATGCAAGCGCTTGAGCTGTTCGGACTGCATTTTTGATCTACAAAGGGGGGGGGGAGGCAGAGTGTTAGTAAAGGTCGGGGCACGAGCTAGGGGGAGGGACGAGTGGATTGTATGGGCTCTATCATCCCGGTCCAGTTTGGTTGCCTGCATACCTGTCGACCATTCAGTTCACGCCTCGCGAGCCCCTCGAGCTCTTTATCGTTAACTACGTCCCTCAGCGCACGATCAGGACCGGATTCCTCTTTTGCGACCATTCCCAGGAATGTTTTCCAAATGACTCTCCTGGCCTTTTTATCGAGATCGTTATATCGAAGAGCTATATGAATCCTACTTTGGAAGGCCTCGTCAAAGGTTTCGACCCTATTGGTGGTTAAGAACAGGATCCCCTGGAAGTACTCAAGCAGCCTCAAGAATATTGAAACGAGAGCATTTCTCTGCAGGTCATGGACCGATCGACGTTCTAGGAAAACATCTGCTTCGTCTAGTAAAAGAACTGCGCCCCAAACATGCGCAATGTCTAAAATCCGAGATAGCTGTGTTTCTAGCGTGCGCGAGTCCGTTCCAAGTTCTCCAGCTCCTACCATGTACAAGGGTTTTTGGAGAAATTCCGAGATCCCTTCCGCCGTTAAGGTTTTGCCAACCCCTGGGCGTCCACTACGAATGCGTTAGAGCACACTCCGCACCATCCGCACCATCCGCACCATCCCAAAATCCGAGATCGGGAGGGGGGAGAAAATAATAATACATACTGTAGAACAGCCACTAGCCCCTTTCCCTTTCCCTTTATCACATCGTCTATTCCAGACCTTGACCCACGATTACCCGTGTGGCTTTCGACCAGTGCTTTCACAATTTTCTTCTGTGCTTCGGGTAGAACAAGGCTCTCGAATGCGTCTGGGTTGAACTCGATTTCATTGACGTGTTCGACTGCAAACTCCGCTGCGGGTACCAATAGGGCATTAGCTCCGTTACGTACAGTAGGCCAACTGACCGAACTCACCCCATAATTTATCTCCGAAGCTGAAACCCAATACTGTAGGCGAGCATAGGAGAAGCTGTTCCTCTGTCATCTCCTCTGGGACTAGCGCGTGCTTGATACCTTCTGTTGTTTTTCCGGCCTCTGAGAGTTTCTTCTTGGTTGTGCCCGGAATCGCGCCCACTAGCTTGATCTTCCCATCAGGGCCGAGTATGTAACTTCTTTGGGGCTTGGTCCCAATCGCTCGCTTCACAGCCGCAGCCACAACACTAGCCCTAGGCTTAACCATGTTGTTCGAGCTATTGATCTCACCATCTTCCTCATCATCGCCTCCCCCGCAATCCTCGTCCTCATCTTCGTTTTCGTTCTCCGAATCATCCTCAGCGTTGGCCGCGCCGGGGGATGTGTGAGAAGCGGACTCTTTTACAGGACTCATGCGATAGTTGGGATTGATCCTTCTGAAGGTGCTTGGATCAACCATAATGCGTCCGTCCACATTTACCCTCACGACCCCCCTCTTGCGCTTGAAGAAAGCGAGACCCTTGTAGTACTTGTAGTGCATGCCTTTTAGGGATCCGAACTTTCTCCCGCGCTCAATAAGCCTTTCTCTGACATCCTCTTCGTCCTCGTGATAGGCCAAGGGGAATACCCCAAGACTATCGATTCTCCTTGCTCCCCTGAATTCGTCGATTTCGAGAACGGCACTCGCCTCCCCATATGTTTTGCCATCGTACTCAACGTAGTGGCAATCTAATTGGAAGAATTTACCACGGTCCAAGGTTTCCTTCTGCTCACCCCAATCGAGCTTGAGGCATCTCGGCTCGTTAGATCCAGCGCAGATGGTGTAAATCAGGGTGTTTGGGAGAAATAAAGCCCAAAGGAGGTCGAAAGTGATCTCGTAGTGTTCTAAAAGAGGGTAGAGTTTCTTGATGGTGGAGGCGTAGTCGGTTGAGATATAGTCGTTGAATAGAGTGAGATGTGAAATAAGGGTCTTGTTCTGTTGTTCCTCGGAAACAGCCTTCGCCTTTGCTAATTCGTTCTCGAGCTGGGGTAAATAATTGAACAGAAGATTCGGCTCCACCTAAGTCATGGGTTTATTAGCGAGCCCACACAACGGCTTATCGTAATACCAACACCCTGGATTTTGAGGAATGCTGGATGAAGCAGTAAAGAAAGAAAGAAGGAAAGAAAAAGAAAAGAAAAAGAAAAGACTAGTCAAATACCGTGGGCTTATCCTCTCGGAGCCCAACTCCAGAGACATCTTTCAAGACCTCCCTTAGGACTGTTCGGATTTCTATGCTCTTGACATCAACGTAGGTTTTCTGGTATTTGTTTTGCCAATCTATGATAGCGCCGAATAGCCAGAAATTAGTTTCTCCACCACAGTCAAACGGATTTTCCCAGGGATTTGCAAACCAAATCTTCGTCTGATTACGAATAAGAACTCCTCCCACTTATCCTCCTTGCCTGCGGGTGATGGCGAGGATTCCGCGAAATAAAAATCATGTGTTGTTTTATTGTATCTGGTTTGGCGTAGAATTAGCAATCCATAACAGCTCTTAATGTCAACTCTACACCAAATTCAGACATACAGTTCATCGAGTCTCTTGAATTCCAATTTACTTGACCTGATCCGCTCTTTTTTATCCATGGTCTCGCTATCGCAATTCACCATGGTTCCATCCAGGAGCATCCCCCCAACCTCGTGTGACTGGTCAGGTCCTGGCATCTCGATCACGGAGGGGATTTCATTTGTATCAGTTTTGTCATCTCCATTGGCGATAACCCTTTTCTTTTTCCTCTTCTCCTCAGATTCTAATTTTAACGAATTTCCATTAACCCCATTAAGCGGGGGTTTGGAGTCTGGAACGTCCAGGTCGTGGAATACCATTTTAGGGTCCCGGGAGAGTGATTCCTCACAATCCGGCTCCTCTAGTCGCTCGTTGTCACTACCAGCATGGCCCGAAGAGGAAAAGGTGGAAGGGGAGTTATCTTCATCGAATGGAACCACATGTTTTAGCTTCCTCGGGAATTCCTCTGTCATCCCTTCAGACTGGGCAGGGCCCACGACGGGAGAAGAGGCTGTACTTGGGGTTTGCACAGCTTTGGCCATGGCCAGCGGCTAGTGGAGTGTCGTGAGGGGTATCAGAGCCCCAATTGTTTGGTGGGGTCGGGGATGGAGAGCCCGAGTGCGTGTTTGATAGTCTAGATATAGGAAGAGGTGGTGCCCGTGGAAGCAGTGGTAGGGCTCAAACGGGGAGGGCAATGGGGGGGCAGGGTGAGGGAAGGAAGGGAGGAGGGGCGGAAGCGAGCAAACTTTGAGGGACAAAGGAATGCCCCGCGGAGCAGCCGATAACAAGGGATAAAGCAGTATACTGACAGTGGGGGGGTATAACAAAGAGGCATGGTCCTTTATAAGGCGTGTTTTTTATGCAGGAGGGGAGAATGTGACAATGAAATGAGTTTGTTCGTGGCTGAATAACCGGGATATTTTTTTCCGCCTTCGAGCTTTGAGAGAAGTGATAGATTGCCAGGAATTCCCAACTCTACTTGAGTATCCAGGCAATTGGCAGACTGGTGGCCCGCCGATTGGTCAATTTTAACACCTTCTCTACGATAGGGCCATGCAACGGCGGCGGCGGCGGCCTCATATTTCGGTCTCAGCGTGGTGTGTGGTGGTATGTGGGTGGGTACCTTTCTCAATACAAGTACAGTACTGTACACCTACCGTAATATTATTATCAAAGCACATTCAAACTTTTGACCAATTCGAGAGTCACCGGCACTAGGACCAAATGTCACGGCAAAGCACGGTACTCTTGCTCCCCAGGGTTCGGAAGAATTGATTATGATTGACAATGCTTGCACGACCTATTCGTTCTACAGAATTTTTTTTTTTTTTTTTTTTTTTTTTTTTTGGGAAGGAATGGTTGCCCTAAATGCTGAGCGTTGGGAAGCCAAGTATGATACGAGTATCCTACTCGAGTACTGCCTCGGCACTTGAGAACTCCCGCTGTGAAGAAAGAAAAGAAAGGAAGAAGAAAAGAAAGGGAGAGAGAAAAAGTTTTCTTCACACTTGTAGTACGTGGCATTCAATCGAATTTGCAAACTAGCGATCTCGGTGAGAAACTCCCTTGTCTCCAGCTGTGGGTAGCTCATCTTTTCCCTCTCCCTCCCCCTCGCCTTCGAGGGGGGACCGTCGTATCATATCACGTGCCAAACGGCAAGTATGTAATGTACGGTACTACTGTACTGTACTGTACTATAACAGGGAGATTTCTGTTCGGTTTTCTTGGTAGTGTTATGATAACGGTGGTGTTTTTTTTTTTTTTCCTTCTCGTCTCACTCACTCACTTTTTTTGTCTGGTGAGATGTTCCATTGAGAGGCCAAGGGGCGGTAATCGAAGTGGGCCGGATAAAACGATTAATTTTCATGTCGGTTCTTTATCATCATGCCCCTTCCTGAACATGCGAACGATGCACAAAGTGTTGCATACTCGAGTAGATGAAAGCGCCACAGAAGTGAGGGATAGGGAAGTCTACGGTATTGCCATTCCATGCCAGGATGCGGCACTGCACGATACCGTACGAGTACAGTACAGTACTTTACAGTACAGTACCTGAATCTCACCCAAAAAGCAGTCCATCGGCACTTCCACCACACTGCGAGCCCAATACCGGTATCCTACCGTATGATACCTCTCGCTGTTTTCACCCCTACTGATTCCTCCTACTTATCCGGAGCACAGTAGGGCGGCGAACGTACTCGAGTAGTAGTCCAGACATTCTTCCCTCTGGGGAACCAGAAGCGGATCCAACACCCGAAGTTTCTGAGCGGATCGAATGGAATTGGGACGGCAGCACACACATTTCGACTTACCGGTTATCCAAAGTTTTCGTTTACATACCGATATCATTTTTGCTCTACGCTAAGCTAACACCGACAGCCTATGTACCGGTGCGGGGAGACTGGAAAACTGGCGCACCAGAAATTTTTTTTCTGTCTGGCAAACCAAAAATCTGCTGTGCTGCTATCGGCACATACACCGTACATTACCGCTCTCAGTTTGCCGAAATCAGGCGAGCGAAGGGGGGGGGAGAGGGCGGCGCGGCTGATTAGCAGGGCACAGATGAGTGAGCCAATCAGGGACGGTACCGTGAACTCTGCCATGGTACCTGTGGGTTATGACGAAACTCTCGCTTGATTGCGTGAGATTCCGAACAGAAGTTCGCCCACCAATCCACCCATACCCATACCGGTAACTAGATTCCTCAGCACGCAGGGGGCGTCCCTCTCCATCGAGTCCCATCAGCCTCCCGCCTACCACCCTCTCCTCCCGAAGGGCATCGTTCATGCATCGGTATTTACGCATATACGAGTACCATAAGGAACCAACTAGAATTGCTGCTGACCGTGAGCACCTGACAGGGTTGTGTGCTTACTACCATATGAATCTCTGTGAAGGCAGGGAAAAGAAGAAATTTTTACTATTGCCATACCCGAGCACTTGTGTGTGGGAGAGGAGTAAGGAAGAAGGAGAAGAAGAAAAGAAAAAAAAAAATCCCCGGTAAAGAGAAAAGGGGGGGGAGGAAAGAAGAACCATTGCCTCAGCCTCCTCAGGTAGGGTGGACTATGATATGATAACTCGTTCTAAAGAGCTGAAATGGCTCCTCTGGGCAAGAGTTGGGTTGAGCTGTAGACTGCACCAAAACTGTAACACGGGTAACTTAATTAAGAGTCAGTGAACAGTGGAAGACGGCGAATAGTGCTGTGTCAAGATTTAAACGTTTGCCACCAGACTCTTTTGGTGCACTGTACAGTACCGGTACCGGTATTGTTAGTCGCCCCCTCCGTGCCTTAAAATTTATTCCCTCCCCGACGTTAGACTTGCACCTGAAGTCGGGGGGATAAGGATTGGATAGGCGAAAAGAGATATGATAAAATAGCTCATATTTACACCAACACCGGTAAACGCGATAGCCCGAAGGCTCCTGATATCATACTATACAGAATTGAGGCTGTATTCCTCAACAAGAAGTTACAAACGCGCTCGAGTGAATAATAAACCACCAACCACCACCACCCACTTGCTTGCTACATTTATTTACATATCACCTCTCTCGTAAACCGACCTACCGATTAGACAACGTTGCCCACATCAGCGCTGCTCCGCTTACTCCCTGTAGCACCGCTGTCTCGTCGCCGCCCCGGATTGAAGAAGCCGGGGCTCCGGGGCGGTGTGCTGACGCGGCCGCCCTTTCGATTCCAGAAGCTCGAGCCAGTCTCCCCATTACTCGCCAGACTGCTATCATCGTCGCCTCTAGTGTCCCGACTCGCACGTCTGGCGAACCTGTCTAATCCAGGGATACTGCTTTTTCGCCGTCGTTCGCCAGGACCCTCCTCCTGGATGCTTTGCTCCGACCGTACCACTCGGGCCATGGCGCGCTCTGCAGCCACCTCTAGTTCTCGTCGCCAGGATATCGAGTCTGTCCTGGCCATCCCACCACCCGCTGCTGCCGCACCTGATAGGTTTCTCGAGGATCTCCCCGAGTCGGTGTTACCCGAAGGCGATGGTGTCGCAGGCGCATACTGGGGTGGAGGGGTTGAGGGTTCCGGGCTGTTCTCACGTGGGATACGAGGCATTGTCGCAGCGGAGCATGTGTGACGGTTCGAGCCTTCTACGGATGGTGATGTCGAGCGCACACTCCGCGAGTCGGTTGTGAATGCCTGGCCCGGAAGAAATCCCTGGCTAGGGCTTACCGACGATACCGAGTTTGAGGAGGACCTCGCCAGCCGCGCACCGTTAAAGTCGAACATCGGGGAGACTGGGGATACTGGCTCCTCCGTGCTCCAATGTGTCGCAGGTGTGGCAGGCGTAAAACTAAAGCTTGGAGGCATATCACTCTGGAGATGGTGGTTCTCGATTATTTTCCTCGATGCAACCACCTTGGTTTTTGTGGGCGGAGCAGCAGCGCGGTTGCCGCTGGGGCTTACGGGCGACACCGGTGAGATGTTGATGGCCGGAACTCCTCTCTTCTCGGTCGGAATATCGGTGACAATGGGCGTCAGCTGACTCTTGGAGTTGTAATAGTGACCAGCGCTCGAATTGGGGTCGGCAGGGTTTACGGAAGCCCATCGGGAATGGTCCATCCCGTGAGCCTCCCATCCCTCGCCTGGGCTACGAGGCGAGGCCTGTTCAAAAGCTATGGAGCGGATCTGCTCTCTGCCCTTTCTCCTATTGCGCATTATGGTCAAGAGAAAGCAGGTCACAACGATCAACCCTAGCAACGCTACTGCACCAACAGAGATCCCTACGATCGCAGCAGTGGATAGCTTCGAAGTTTTCTTGGACTCCTCCTTTGCTGAAGGAGGAGTGGTGGACTGCGAGGTACCAGTCTTGGAAGGAGATGCAGGCGCTGCCGAAGTCGGAGAAGTCGTATTGCTAGACGACGACGACGACGCATCCAATACCCCGCTGCACACACTCACTACAGCAGCCTCTGTTTCCTTGTGGGCTTCCGGACGACAATGCCGCTGATCATCGATGCAAGACCAGAGCAATTCTCTATAGGGCTGAGGGTTTTCCCCACACAAACATTCTAGTTGGCCGTGACACATTCGGAAATGGGGGTGCTGGGATATCGCGTTGTACACACACTGCAGTGCGCACGGTGGTAGGACTTCCGCTCCCTGTAGTTGGTTTCCCTGTCTGGCTTGGAGCGGCGAATGTGCGGATGTGGTGGGGACGCGTAGTAGGACTGTAAGCAGCAGTGTAAAGAGCCCTGGCCATGATGATGATGATGGCGATGACGACAATCGTTTGTGTGACATGATTACTATGGGGAAATGGGAAAAAACTTGGTCAGAAAATTTTGTACAATAACAAGGCTTGAAATGAGTTATTTGAGCATTCCCTGGGGCGGCGACCGGTAAGGACATCGAAATCCAGAATAAATAAATCCCCTTTCAAACAGGTGTTTTTGAAACGAAATGAAACGAAATAATGAAATGACTCTCACACAGTCCAGAGCCAAAAAAACACCCCCGCGGAGAACTCGCCCGTGACAGAATGTGAGAGAATGGATGAATGGAAAAGACGGATTTGAAACACACCTTAAATCTAGCCTGCCTGCTCAAGCGCAGATATATGCGATGAAGATACAAGTTTCCAACTGCCAGAGTATGCTCCTCACCGCCAAACAACCATTCGTCGGGCCAGAATGGAACAACTGCAGGGTGGATCTAAACCTTAAGCCCAACCAGCGTCGGTGTCGTATCGTATCTTTGGACTCCCAAACCCAAACCAACGAAAGCTGAGGGAGTCGTCGAGAGAGAGGAGGGGAAAAAAAGCGGATGATATCTTCCCTACACCATTCTTAGCACTTACTCATCCATTCCACTAGACCCCACCAAAGCGCAGCACTTGTCAACCGCTTAGGTGGGGGCAAAGTGGGTCCGGAAAGAACCTTAACGCACTTTTTTTCAAATTTAGCACAATACCGGTGGTATCCCACTCAACAGCCTGATGCAGCCAGGCGGAAATATAAGGCCAAATATGAGACCACCCTCCGATGCCAGTCGGGGATTCAAGGTTCCTGTTCGCGAGTATGAGTGTGTAAGCAGCGGCACAAGGGAGACAAAGCCGGAAGGCGTATCATCGATGGATGGATGGATGGGGGGAAGGCGTACAAAGAACCGGCAGTCAAACAGGTAGACTATTAAGCACGACAAATGTATAGGGTGCACCGCGCTGCCTTGCACGCTGTGCGTTTGTGGATGGGTGGGAATACCGGTATTAAGCCCTCCTCGAAATGGGACAGGAAAAAGAGAGGAGAAGGAAAAGAAAAAGAGGGGGGGGGAGGAGAAAGAGAGGGATGGAGGGACGAGGTGTGGGGGAGGGTACTTTTATTATATTATCAACAAAACTGCTTGCACAATTGTGCTTTTGACCAGGCTACCGTAACCCATTCCGAGTTACTCTCTCTCTCTCTCTTTTCACCATCCCTAATTCCACCGTTTCGCAGCACAGTAAATTTATCCCGCAGACAAAAACAGGCTCTATCGCCCAGAATACCATCACGAGTGAATACAGTAACCCCAGCTTCTATTTTTGTGGTACTTGTACTAGTTACTGCCGGGGGCAGCATGTTATTAATAGTAATAATAGTGTGTGATTGGTTGGTTGGGTTGGTTGGCTGCGCTGTGGGAGTGACAGGGGTAAGCTGTTGTTGGAAGGTGGCCAATGTGATGGTGCGGATAAGTAGCGTTACTATATATATCAGATTCTGATAGCCGAACTGAGAGGAGGGGTGATATTTGGGGAAACTACTCTACCCGAGTACAAGCATGGTACTTGTACTTTATCTTGCTGCACCATGATTGTTTCTCGGAGGTTGGGGAAGAATTGGGGGGGGGGGGAGTATGTTGCAGAGTTAGAGATAGAGTACAAGGATGGCGCCGGTATCACTTCTCGCGGACTAGTCGAGTACCGTACTATCCGAGTACGACCGGAGCAGTTACAGTAGCTCACGGGTATCATATGTCGCCAGAAGTGATGGAGGAGAGGTGTGTAACCCCCCTCTTTCCACACCTCACGGAGCGGAAATGAAGCTCTATGATAGAAGTCAAATAGAGTGTGGCTCAATCGGGGGGGGAGAGAACTCCCTACTCGAGTAGAGTTGCTCGAGTATGATACTTCTTGACGATAGTTCGCCACCGGGCGCTGGTTCCGGCAAAGTTTTTTACTTTTTTTCTTTTTCCGAGGGAAAGTTGTTCCTGAGGGCGTCTCCGGCACTCTCACTCGCCTATCGTCGGCTGTCGAGCCGTATGATGTTTGACTGCTCTTGCGCCATCTCCAATTTTACCAGTTGATGCGCTACCGTTACCGGTTATCGAATATATCGTGGATCTAGACTTGGAAACAATGCCGTTGACTACCCTCTCCAAGTCTACCAATCGAAGTGGGGGGGTGGATCACACCTCTCCCCCCTCGGTTTCTACCACTTTCCCACGATAGTATCATAATAATATTATCATACCGGTACTTGTACCTGGTGGGTTACTCGAGTACTAGGGGTATTCAAAGTTAAAAACGGATGGGAGAAGAACCGAGTTGATACTAGAACGTGCATTAGTTTACTAAAGGTGATGGTCCAATAGCATCATAGAAAATATAGTATCATAGTTGAGGCCCCCAAATTTTCAGAAAAGTGAAAAGTAACGAGTATAGGTAAAAGTTAGTGTACATTTAGAAGAAAATTTTTCATATACCAAGATGACAATCCCAGAGGAAAGAAGATCAGAGAACCCCATCATTAAAATGCCATGCAATTATTCTGAGAATATAATTTGAACAAAAGTCAAAACTGAGAGAGTAATTCAATGGCTTGGTGAGCCTGAGAATTTATGAAAAATCAAAAAGGGTTCAGGAATTATGAAGAAAACAATTGTTGCTGAAATTGCAGCCCAAATTCCCATCAAAGTGTCACGAACGTTGCTTGGTGAGGAAAGGGTTTTTCACGTGATACATGGTTATGAGTCACAGGTATGTTATTGTTTCACGCATATAACCTATTCGGGTTGTATGATTAGTTATGTGTGGGATTTGTGATGCTTTCGCACATGGCTCAAGTATGAGTCATGGGACATGTGCCTGATGAGTATGCCTTACGAGTATGCCTTACGGACAAGCTTTGCGCATATGATTTATGTTTCGCACATGACCTCATTATGATGTCATGGGTTTCGTGCATATGACTCAGTCGAGTCATATGACTTGTTTATTGTGTTATGATTGGTTTATGAGTTTTGCACATGACCTCGCTATAAGGTCATGGGTTTTGAGCATGTGATCACTTTGGTCACATGACTAGTTTGTTTTGATTTGGTTTTGCACATGTGACCACTTTAGGTCACATGATTAAAGGCAGGAAGAACACTATATAAGGAGGCCGATGCGGCCGAGGAAGATAGGTTCTTCACGCTTTGTTCTAAGTACTTTTCCTACATATTACTTTAACGAATATAAAACACCTTTACGATCTTTATCATTATTGCAACCTTATCATTACGCCAAGAAGCACTCGTTACGAAGACGAGTTAGAGAAAGCTTATGATAGGTGTTTCCGATAGAAGACAAAGGTCTTGTACTATCGGTAATATAGGCAGAGGCCTAGAGCTATCGTAAGACAAGGAAAGAAAGAGAAAGAAAAGGTAAGTATCGTTCCCTGTCGCCAAGAACTAACTATCTGAAAGGGGATCGCTACACAAAGGAGCTATTAAGGTTGGGTACAAGTATGATAATCTCAGGAAATCCTATTGGGCTGCAGCAAAATTAAACAATCAAAGCAGATAGGGTTTATCAGAGAGGGACTTAGATGAGGGCAGGAGAAGTTTACGAGGCAAGAAATCTTTTTATTCTTTTAAAATACCAGAAATTATCTTACAACATAACAAAATTTGAAAGAAAAAAAAAAAGAATTTAGACAAGCTACATTCCCAGTATTCATATTTCTTCTGTTCAGAGAGAATTTTAGGTGATTGACCTAATGTAAGACTACCAGTCTCGTATGACTCCAGCCATGATACAAATGATACCGCTACCACAATCGAACAATTACTTCTAGCAATGTCCAACAATAATCTGGAGGAGGAAGCGGAGGGCCAACTACCGCTTGTTAGTCAGGAGAGTACAGGAGAAAAAGTGGGATGAGAGAGGGAAAGTAGGGCTAGCATCAGCAGAGAGAGGGAGGAACAAGAACAGGAGGAGGAGGAGTTGGGAGAAGGAATGCGAATAGAGAGAGGAGGAAATGAGGAAGAGGCAGTAATATTAGGAGGTAATAGAAAGAAGGAAGAGGATAGTAGTAGTCGTTATCCAGAAGAAAGAAGTCGAGCAAGCTAAGAGGCCACAGGGGGAATTGAAGAAGATGAGGTGGTAGTTATGGGTGAGAATAGGGAAAGGCAAAGAGCACAAAGAGTGTAACCGGTACGAGTACTCGGTTATTAGTTTTGTTTTATGTTTTGTTTTACGTATCGCTTTGATACTTAGTTTATTTTAAGTATCATTTGACACTTAGTTTTGTTTTATGTTTTGTTTTAGGTATCACTTTAATACTTGGTTTGTTTTAAGTATTCTTTGATACTTAATAATGTTTTGTGTTTTGTTTTAAGTATCGTTTTGATACTTGATTTGTTTTACTGAAGTGTATCCCTTGATAACATTGATAAGTTTCATTCATGCTAGACATGAATAGATTTGTGTATTTAAAGACTGCTTGTTTTCATGATGGAAAAAGCAGACTTCGACAGATAGTATTTCAATATACTTGGTTGAACGGTTACCTCTTTATTTCTCAGTATGTCCTCGAAGCCTTCTTTAGTTCCAGCTCTTGCCTCCTCTCTGGTAGAGCAGGCCACCTGCTAACTATCATACCATTTTCTGATAATATGATTAGCACCTAGTGAACTAGTTATAAAGGGTAGAAAGAGCTAGTCCTAGCCACTCATCAGCGATGTGAGAAGCAAGAAAGAGGTGATTTCCTGAAATATTAGTAACGGAGAGTGATAATGATAGGGCATTAGGTGGGATATAAAGAAGGAGAAAAGGTAGGGTCAAATGGTTTTAATGAAGCCGTGAGCATACTTGTAGCGGAAAAGGCAGAAGGAGAGAAAAAGAAGTTTGAGTTTTTAAATTGGCATCTTATTCAGCAAGGTGAACTATGACAACAGGAGATAGAATTAGAGAGAGAAAAGCTGGAAGTGGAGAGAGAAAGGGCAAGAGGTGAGCAGCAGAGAATGGAGCTATGGATACTTCAGCTTCAGGCTACTATTAG